GGTCCTTCCCAAACTCCCAAACTAGAGCAAACGGGTCCTTCCCAAACTCCCAAACTGGAGATTTGGCACTGGGACTTCTGGGAATGGCCCAGAAGATCAAGGTCATTCAAATCCAGAGGCAAAGCTCTCCGGGGACAATTCCAAGGGATCCGTTCACCTGCCACAGATTTATCTCCAGTCCTTGAACACCCCCCCCCCAAATCCAAGCCCTTGACTTCCAAAGATGAAAAAATTCCCACATTGGATCATTTCAGGCTCAGATCCAATTCCAAACTTTATTTCCCTGCCCTGCATCATCCCAGTGGGAACTCCTGCTCCCACATCACACCCCAGCTCTTTTTTTTGGGGATGAAGATGATCCCAGGCTCCCACAGAAGCAGCTGGAGGCTCTGGAGAGCCTGGATGAGCTCTGGGAATCTCGGAGCAGGTGTCCCAACTAATCCTCTGCAGGAATTCACGGTGACCTACCTGTCCATAACGAGATTCCCGTCGTTATTCCGCACCGCCGTCCACATATCCCAGAATTCCGCCTGGGAGGGTTGTGTGTGGGGCCCAAAAACTGCTCCAAGCCTGGGAAAAAAAGGGAGTTTGGAGAGGGCTTTTTTTGGGGGAAAAATCCCTAAATCTGACTGTGCGCCAAAGGCAGGGCGCGGGTGGGGTTTCGTTGCCTCTGGAATGTGGAATTCCAGTTCTTGTGGGAGAGAAGGAAAGCAGGGAAAAAGCCACGTGGTGGTTTATTATTAGCCCAGCCTGGAGAGGGAATGGCCTGGAAGGTCAAGGTTCAAATCCAGAGGAAAATCTCTCCTGGGATGGTGCCAGGGAATGCCCTCAGCTGCCCCAACACCTGCTAATTCATGGAATCGTGGAATGGTTTGGCTTGGAAAAGACCTTAAGGATCATCCAGTTCCACAGGCAGGGACACCTCCCACTATCCCAGGTTGCTCCAACGCGGCCTCGGAGACTTCCAGGGATCCAGGGGCAGCCACAGCTTCTCTGGGAAATCCATCCCAGCCCCTCCCCACCCTCCCAGCCAGGAATTCCTTAGAATTCCCGCTTCCCTGCTCGGCTCCCATCCCTGTGGACTGTCCCCAGCTCACCCTCTGGAGAAGAAGAAGAAGTTCATCAGGCGCAGGAGGAGGGGGGACAGCAAACCCCCGTCCTGGAGGAGCTGGGGAGCAAGGAAAACAGGAGATGGGACACACGGATCCATCCTGTCTCCATGGAGAGCTTTTCCCACAAATCCCTGACCCCGGAGACGCCCACGAGGTCTCCTGGTGGGACACCAGTGTTTATTTGGGATACTGGGAGTCAGGCCGGACAGAGAGGGGAGCAGCTCACCTTCTGGATGAACCTGGGGTGGTATGTTTCCAGAAAAATCCCTGGAAGGAGGCGGGAGAACAGAGCTGTAAATCCATAAGTGCTTTGCTTCCCATCTCCCAGTCCCTCCCCATCCTTGTGGGGCCATGGAACGTGGGACAGGGAGCCAGGATTGGACTCCTAATCACGGCACCTTAATTGTGCTTCCCTTGGGATTCAGGCAAGGGAGATGGGAAGGCCACCCTATCCCATGGATCCCAATCCCATGGATCCCCATCCCGCCTTTCCGGGCGATCCTCACCTCCGTTGGATAAGCAGAGGCTGTTGATCAGGATGCTCCCGGTTTTATTGTGCTTGTACCTGGGGACACCAGAGGAGAAGGTGGAACACATCCAGACCTCTCCAGGATCCAAGGAATGACCGCCCAGGAGGTCACACGGACACTTCCAGGTCATCCCTGGATCCCTGCTGGGATTTGGATGTATGGGACCCTCGGGAATGACAGGCCCTGAGAGCTCTCAGCCTTGGGAGGGACAAGGAAAACGGGGATCCCACTGATTGCTGGGAATCGTCTCCATGGGGACAACAAGAGGTGACAGGGGTTGGAATTGTCTCTGTGGGGACAAGAAGGAGTACCAGGGGTTGGAAGGGTTGGAATGGTGTCCATGGGGACAACAAGGAGTGCCAGGGGTTGGAATGGTGTCCATGGGGACAACAAGGAGTGCCAGGGGTTGGAATGGTGTCCATAGGGACAACAAGGAGTGCCAGGGGTTGGAATGATCTCCATGAGGATATCAAGGAGTGCCAGGGGTTGGAATTGTCTCCATGGGGACAAGGAGTGTCAGGGGTTGGAATGACCT